TTTTTAATCACGGCTTGAAAGCGAAGGAGAAAGCACCCCTTGTTGCAACGATCAATACAATAAGAATCACACAGACTCAGACGCTGGTAATGAATGGCAGGGATATAGTTGCAGATGACACATTTGGTGCAGTTAGGCCTTCAAAAATGCTTCATAGATGCACCTTACACTCTTAACACAATAGTTGTACATTTTATCATGAAAGATCCGGCTGTCTTCTGCAAGAATTCCTGATTCTGTACACATGTCCAGCATTCTGACAATAATATACTAGGATGGACAGAGCATTGTAGATAGCAGAGGCTTATCTCGTTTTTAAAGGTAACGCTGATGTACTGATTGTTCTGTGTCCATGTTCTCTCTGTGGCTTTTTGTATAGAGTCTGAGCCAAGGCACTTTGCAAATAAAGTTCTTCTAATCTGCTCTAATGTTTTGATATAATGGACAAGTCAGTGGTTAGTACACTGATGGTGGGGAATTAACCCAATGCTAACCAAGAATCTGATACAGATACTTAACACAGCCCAAACTATGATTTTCCCATTCTTGTTCTGTTTGCCTACATTGTCTCCCAGTGACCTCATGAAAATGACTGCCCCACGAAACATCTGTTGCTTGAACACTCTTCTTTTGGGTCATTTTGGGACACCAGCGGCTATATGATCTACCATGTTCATCGTGTTCATCCGTTACAGCTGATACAAACTGTTCTTCTTCAGTGCAAAAACATTTATTGATTATGTTTCAGAGTACACAGCAGACCAATTTTGGAAGAAATGGCACATGAGCCTTTCGGTTACACCTCAACTCTGTTCACCATTTGAAAGGTCCTTTGAGTCTCTGTGAGCGTGGCTGGTGGCTGGCAGATTGTCATTAAGATGGTAAAAGTACAGCTTTGCTGATGAGAGTGTAAGGACTGCTTTTACGGACATATGACTGGCCGTAACCTTGGAATCAAGGTCAAAATACTAGTAAGCAGTCCCCACCGTGTACACATGCTGTTCCTTCCCCAGTCTCTCACAAGGTACACCGGGACTTCCTGATCTACAACTGTTAGTTGCAAAGCACAGCGGCAGCTGCCATGTAAGCACACAAAGCACGCTGGCTCTTAACATTTTTTCCCCACCCACCTCTTGTGATATGGCTATAAAAAGATTGCTGCCAAGATCACTGCTACCTGCTGCATGGCAAAGCTTCCCTTGGGTACAGATTATATACACCGTAGTTCCGCACAAAACACAGCAGGTACTGCAAGGCGAACACTTATTTCCTGGCGAGGGTAGACGTTGCCAAAAAGCACCATCTGCACTGTTCATCAGGACTGTCAGAGAGGAGCAACAGTTGCCCGTAGGAAAAGAGGAGTCAGAGTGAAAATGGAGTTGAGTATAAATCTGCATTTGGACAGGAAGGCCAAGCCTTTTTAAACAAAAGGCGGAAGCAAAGGCAGGAGCAATGTGTTTCTTCGAACATGAGGGCGTATCTCGTAAGATACTTGTTTTGTTTTTGTTTTAACTGTTATACTTTTGAAAAAGGTGTTAAACACAGGAATACTGTGACTATGAGAGAACAGAAGACGGGCTAGAAAGCTCAGTGGTTTAAGCCACAGGTTGGGAGTTTGATTCCCCACCGTGTCTCCTGGGAGAAGAGCCAGCCTGTGTGGCCTTGGGAAAGCTGCACAGTCTCCAGAAGTGCCACCAAAAGAAGGTAATGGAAAGCCACTTCTGAATATTCTTTACCTAGAAAACCCTGAAAAGGGTCACCATAAGTCTGAAGTGACTTCATT